TTACCATCCCAAAACCCATTTTATTGCCAAAAATAAAAATAAATAAATAAAAATCATGCTTCCTGACTTTTGATGCCACATTCATTTTGCTTAGACTCAACACAACCCAAACCAAAAAGAAAGAAAAAGCTTACATATTTCCCAAAGAAGAAATTTGAACCCACAATATATATTGCCTACATTTTCCTAGAAAACAAACAGTGATTAAGCAGGTAATTTACCCAATTAAAAAAAGTAATGCCAAATCAGAATACTTTTTTAAAAAAAAGAAAGAAAGAAAGAAAGAAATTGGCTTTAATTAAAATTCAAAATGTTCCAAAGAATAATAATAATAAAAATAAAAATGTTACCTCAGATTGTGCAGCAACCTCCATTTGTTGTTTGAGCATAGCATAAGTTTGACTGCGAGACAAAAGGGAACTCGGACTATGGTCCGAACTCGAACTCGAACTCGAGCCTGAACTTGTTCCTTCACCCCCTCCATCTCTCTCAACAGAACATGCTACAATCCGACAATTTCTGTTGTAATTCCTCAAATTCAAACATTGTCTCGACACCGTACCGAAGCTCCGACCGGGAAGAAACCTCCTCGTACCTGTACTAAAATCCGTTAACAATTTCAGATTGAGTGACTGCATTTTTTCCAGAAATAATTTTATGGTGACAGCTGGTGACTAAATCGAGACTTTTAATTGTGAAGTGACTAAATCGGCCGGGGTTACGGTAGTTTAGAGAGTTAGAGGAGAAGGGTGATCTGCGGAATTGGTGGCTATTGTGGGATTTCCCCTTTTCTATTTTTTTTTTTTTTTTTTTATGTGTATCAGATTTTTGTGTTGCTGATTATGGGTGAGAAATTTACACGTTTTGGGTTTGGGTTTACAGATGAAAAATCAACGAATATTTGTTTTATTATTTTTTAAAATAAAATTTACTTGAAATTATATTAAAATAATATATTTTTTATTTTTTAAAATTTATTTTTAATATCATTAAAAATACAAAAAAAATAATTTAAAAAAATAATATATATTAAAAAACACTTTTAAAATATAAAAATAAATAAACTGATTAAAGAATTATTTTTTAACTTGGATGAAAGTATTTTTATTATATTTAATGATTTTTTTATTAATTTTTCTGTATTTTAAAGTATTTCAGCTTTATCATAGAAGATAGGGTGCTATGCTTGAATAAATTTAAAACCTATGGGTGGATATGGTTTTTAAATGGTCAGAAAGAATAAACTTTTTTTTATTAGTTGCTGTCCAAGAAAAAAGAGAAAAAGAAAAAGAAAAGGAGGTGGTCGAAGAATAAACAATGGATCGAAATCTCTTACATTTACATGCACGTGTTCGCTACATATTTTATACATGTTGATTAGAAAATTATAGAATATTCTCTATAAAAAATAAAATCATAAAAATCTTTAGTTAATTATAAAATTATAATGTTTTAGTTAGCCGTAGCAGTTCTTTTCTCCGCGATGCTAATGATATCATTTAAAAATCTTGTGTTATGCAACTATTATTAATTAGAATTCATATAGTTTTAGAATTCGACTAGATTAATGAGTTAATTTAGAATTTAATAAATTTAAAGTTGAAATTAAACTAAGTTAAAAAAATAAAAATAAAAACTTGAAATTTAAGTTTTGAACTTGCCAACCGGGTTTGAAAATTATTATAATTTAATTTATTTATTTTTTTATAAAAACATAAAATTTAAGTTTTGAACTGACCAACCAGATTTGAAAACTATTATAATTTGATTTTATTTTTTAAAAAACTTTATAAATTTATAGGGTTATTTTTTTGCAAGTCTGTTAAACAAAGAGGAAAATTTTAAGGAATTTCAAAATGCAAGTGTTGTTGGCCCGGCCCATTGAAATCAAAGGCTGACGCATGGGCCTAACAGCATGATATTGGCAGTTCAGGCACGTTTCCTGGGCCTGAATATTTTTAAAATCATCTAAATGCGTCGTTTGCTTAATTCGTTTTATTTTTTTTAACGAGAAATAAATAAATAAACGTGTCATTTGCAAGCTCACTTTTTAGCCGTTATATAAATGCTTGAAAAATCCTAGTTTTTTTTTATTTAAAAAAATTAAATTTCCAATTATTTTCATCTAAAAATACTTAAAAAAACTCCTATAACATTAAAAATAAAAACAAAAACCTCCAAATTGGTTAAAAAACACAAAAGCAAAATGGAGACAAAACTTTTCGCATTCCCAATCTACCTTTTCATGTGATATGATGATTTTGGCCTTCCCCACAAAAAAAAAATGAATTGTTTTTAGAGGCATTAAGATCTTTCTATTTTATCATAAATAAATATATATTTTTATATTTTAAAATATAATAAAATGACTAAAATATTCTTGAAAACAATAATTCTGACCCGTAACACTGATCCATAATTAGTTAGTAAACATATCACTAGTAACCTAATCCAATAAAAACAAGATGTATAGATAAATAAAGAATTATTATTTATCTATACAAAGTTCTTCTTCGTGGAAAACAACACGCCTTGCTAAAATAATTTCTTTAAATTTTGGTTTTTTTTAAAAATATTTTTTTATTTTTAAATAAAAAAATATTTTAAACTGCTACAACAACTATAATTTCAAAAACACATCATTGAAAATTACAAGCACTCAAGAAATTATGCTGACGCAATTCAACACGTTCCACCCTCAGGAATATGGAACATGCAGTTTGCCAAGATGGCCATAAATAATATTGGGCAATTACAGAGATGTCTTGAGCCAAAAAGACACCGGATTGCAAGTCAGGTTCCTGTTTAATACTTTAACTGCCATGGTAGAAAATTAGAAATACGACATATTTCAAGGAAAGGACCAGAATAGAAGAGAATGTCCACGTACAGACAAACTACAGATACAATTACTGTAGTTTTTTCGACTAGATTTGATATCCTTGTAACCTTCAATCAGCAGTGGGTTGGATAAAAAAAAACCTGAGAAATTTTTTTTTGATGTCATGCATGTTTTAAAGAAATAAAAAATACAATGTTAAATAATAAAATAAATTGATATCATTTTGTTTTAACCTATTAAACAACATGCAACTCGAGTTATTTAATTAAAAACAATAAATATAAAAAAATTCAAACATAATATTTTATAAATTAAATATTAAAAAATAAAGTTAAAAAAACAAAATATAACATACAAAAAAATTAAAAAATAACAATTATAAGCTTAAAAATACCTAAATCTGCTTTGATTAACTTGTTAAACCTATAATTTAAATTATGAGATTAGATTAAACTTAAAAAAACCTAATTTTTTAAAAAATCAACCTCTAATCATGAGATAGAAAAAAAAGTTAAAAAAAAGATCATGTTATTCCTTAGTAGCTTATAAAATCGATGCCCCGATTCATTTGATTGGAAGCATCATATATAAAAAAAATTATGAAAAAAAATTATTAATAAATTAAATATTAAAAAATAAATTTTTTTAAAAAAATCAATAACATAAAAGGATTAAATTATTAATAAATTAAATATTAAAGAATAAATTTTTTAAAAAAAATCAATAACATAAAAGGATCTTAAAGAAAAAATAATTAAAGAAAAAAAAGAGTGAGCTTATACATGTTAATTCACCAAAGTCGTCGACTATAATAAGGAATAACCTTATAAAAAAATAAAAAAAAATTATGAATTATATTTAAAAAAAATAAAAATAAAAAAAAAAATAAAAAAAATTATAAATTATATTTTTTAAAAAAAATAAATAAAAAATAAAAAAATAAAAAAATTAATAAAAAAATAAAAATCCCTGTTATATTGTAAAACTCACGAGCTGAGTCGTTTGATTAAAAATGTTAAATTTAAAAAAATCATGAAACCCTAATCTTAAAAAATATACGAATGAAATTAAAAAATATATTTAATTATAAAAATAATTAAAAAATATATAAATTAAGTTTGAAAAAAAAAATAGCTGAATGAAATTAAAAAAATATATTTAATTAAAAAAATATAAATTAAGTTTGAAAAAAAAAATAGCGGATTATTTTGGATTGAATAATTAAATTGATTAAAAAAATTAATTTTTCATCAAATATATGTCTATGGTAGAGAAAGAGGATGCTACTGGGAACCTAATAACAGAACAAAAAATAATTTTTCACCGCTAAAGAATGTCGTACTCGTCGTTGAAGTATGGTGGAACACTTCCACTAGCACCTGACAGCTTCTAAAATTTAATAATTTTTAATAATTGTAAAATATTAATTTACCCCTCTATTTATTTGGTTATAACACAAAAGCTAACGTGGAACAAAAATACCCCAGAATCAAGCATAAATCAAATTTTATTTCAAGAGTAAATTAATAATTTTACTGTGATAAAATATAAAATCTCAAAAAAAATATTCGAAGAACCAATTATCTGATTATCTGATTTTTGTTTGATAGTAACTGTATTTTACTATTCTAAAAATAAAAAAAAAAGACCTTTATACCCATTTTAAAAACAAAAATAACAAATAAATCACATGAAAAAAACCATTTTACCCCTTAGCTTAATCTTCTAGGCTAATTTAATGAAAAATAAAATCATCATTTCACTATTTCTTTCTCTATGTCTAGTGCTATAGTATTTTTCCCGCACCCTATATATTTTGTTAATTTTTGTGGGCTACTTGTCGCAAGAAGGGCTGAATCCAAGAGGCTGCCATTTTCCAAAATTATAATAGAACGCGTCCAAATAAGGATGCACAACTACTGAATAAACATGGAGGCATGAAGCGCACATACCACTAATCCTTCCAGATAAATTAGAACAGTTGCCCCTCTAGGGTCAATAGAACTATGAAGCAAATATATGACCAGAATGAAACACTTGCAAGCATCTTTATGACCAGAAAAAAGTCAACAAAACTAACAGTGTTTCTTGTCCACAGGATTAAGAACAGCAGTGAACAAGTTTAAGTAGTTCTCCACCCACGGAGTGGAGCAAGTGAGCAACAATGGCAATGAAAGGGCCTCAGCCTCAATATTGATAGGCAGTTGTCAAATGAACAAACAATCCCCTTCCAGAAACAAATTTGGTTATTGATACAATAAAAAAGGCCTCAGCCTCAGCATCCATAGGCGGTTTCCACATGAGCAAAAAGACTAACACATTCAATTTACAAACAAAAAGACTTAATACACTCAAATTAATCTCCCAAGGAGAAGCCCCCCTACAACGGATATCAAGAGAGGGTTGCCCCTTTCAGCAAGGAAGGGAAAAGGGACCGCTTTTTGATTTGAGGGCTCCTTATTTGAATAAAGAGAAATCCTTCAATGCAGTAAATGTCGAACCCCATAAAACAGATGATAGGTCAGGGCAAGGGCAGCGGTAACATCGACGACAGGTAGGATCAGCTTGGATGAATAAAAGAGGAATTGGTAGAAATTATAATAGGTGAAGCAAATCGAACCCGCTTTCAGATGAATAAGACAAAAAAACAAAACTAGAGCAGATAGGAAAGCCCCGGAGATTCTATTGACAATGGAAAATGTTGAATGAACCTGGGGCCTATAAATAGGAAGATGAGGAGATAATGGGCGAAGGACATGTGAGGTATTAGGTTGATCAATGTCAGAGGTCACCTCAATTTGAGGCGTGCCCCCGGGAGGTGGTGGAATACCCGCAACCTGGTCCTTGTTGTCAGTCCCTGTGGAGAAAACCTGGGGTCCCAAAAAAATGAATCAGAGAAGTATAACTGGGCACAGGGCCACATAGAACAGACAAATATCACAAACAGAGGGCCGCATGGACACTAGCACAGGCATGGCAACTTATTGCCCACATTTAAAATTTTTTAAGATAAATATCTCAACACAGATGTAAAGACTCACCCGTGTCTTGATACCAAGTGACAAGGGAGCCACATCAAGGAGACGCAATTCTTTGACACCTCCACGTAAAATTCCACCCTGAATAGCAGCTCCCATAGCCACTGCCCCAACTGGGTTTACTCCCTTGCTTTGGCTCTTTCCAAAGATCCCAGCTACCATCTTTGGGGAGAAGGTAACAGCTGAGGGGGTTATCCTACATCCTTCAACATTCTCAAAAACTTTGGGATTCTGTACACAGTCATGGAAGTAATAAGGAAAAGAAAGCCTAACAAAAAACAAACAGATAAACAATTGGAACAAAAGCCATTCTTACCTTCCCTTCCATAACAGCAGCAAATGAATTTGCAGTACCCAGATCAACACCAATAAAATCTCCACATGCAGGTTTTGCACTACACAGAATAGGAAACACTCAATACTTCAGCAAATAGAAAAGAACAGCGAATAGAAACATATACAGCCACCAAAAACTTAATAAGCTACCTCAAAGCTCTTGACAAACCAGCCCAATTTTGGCTGAAATTAGAAGGAGCCCACTTTGGACTCACATCATTAGTCAACTGCACAAGGGATGAACACCAAAACTCAGCCATTTCACAATCTCAACCTCAATTCTCAAACAGATTTTAATGAGCCAGACCAAACACGACTATGGATGATCATTATCTTTTTTTTTCCTCACAAATATAGATAAAAAACGATTAAATTAACAGCGTCCAAAGCTTTAGCATTTAAAACTTACATATATAAAACATCTCAGCCGATCATTAAGAGTTAAACACAACAATAAATACAAAACAAAAGCTTTAATATCCTAAAAAACAGTGATTATGCAAAGAAATCAAATGAAGAAAACCCAACACGGATAAATCCTTGAAGGGCCCAACTTTCTGAAATACCATAACAAAAAAAAAACCTAATCATTTATGTATCCCCTCAAGCATCAAGTTAAAGTATCGGTTTGATCTCCTCTAACGAATAACCAAATCAATAAAACTGAAGAAGAAAAGGAGCAGAAATGTTTAGAGACGTACGCATTTGTAGGACGAAAGAGGAGCGGAGGCGACGTCACGGCGTCGTAGAGAGCGGAGGAGAGCAGCGGTGGCCATGAGTGAAGAGATCGACGAATCTACGGGTTGGAGGCGGAGAAGGACGCGGAGACTCTTGCAGAGGTTTGTCAAAAAAGGACTTTGCTGACGGCAAAATACACCGAATGGTTTCGATAGTCCCTGTACTCTCTTGATTGTTTTACTTTGGTTCTCTTTCTATTTTTATTTATATATCTCATTATCATCCTCTTATCTTCTATTTACTTTTTTTCTTTCCAATCTAATCATTCCCCTATACTTAAAAAAATTAATTATTATTGTATATTATTAGAACGATGTTATCCTCGCCTCACAAATTATTAATCTCATTATATATTTATTACAAGTTTTATTAATATACTACATCACTCCTCATCTTTAATATCTTACTTGAACATAATTTTGATGTTTTCTTAATTATTAAAAATCAAAAAATCAAAATTTTAATTACTATATATTTTTAAATACATATTTTATTGGTGTATAATAGGTGGAACAGTAAAAAATTTATTTAAAAAAAACAAATAGTATGATTTTATTTTGAGAAATTATTTTTATGGTAGGAAATGAAAATAAAAGTAAAATTGAATATTCTACTAAAAATACAAATTTAACACCAGCATTTAATACATACCATTATTATGAAAAAAAAAATATTATTTAATTATAGATATCTTGGTCTATCTAAATAATAAAATTATATTATAGAGTAATTTTGAGATAGAAGAATGTAATTTTGGTATTGAAAATAAACCAAAAAAAGAATAAGAATTAATTTTAAAAAATAACAAATTAAAATCTTTTATCAAAGGATGAAAAGAGTTTACAAAAAGAACAAGAAAAAAAATTAAGGAATAAAAATAATTAGGATCAAAATAAAAAAATAAAATAAAAAGATAAATTTAAATTGAATGATGAAATTGAGAAAAAAAAAAATTCACAAAAGAGTCGAGGATAAAAATTCCAAATAAAAAAAAAGAATTAATGCTCAAATAAGCACAACTAAGATTATTAAGAAATTTTAAATGGATAATATAAATATTTTAAAAATGGAAAACAGTCGGCTGTTTGATGATTTGATGCCTTGTAATTTAGATCTCTCATGTTTATTGCGTTGTGCTACTATTTAATATTATTATTAAACTATGTAATACTATTATTAAATTCAAGTAAAAGAGTTAAAATTAAATTATAGGAGAATTTTTTTTAACATTATCTAGTTGACTTGGTATATTTAAAAATAATTTGAGTAATAAATAAAAAATATGACTTGGCTATAAAAAATTTAAAAATAATATTTTTTTAATATTAAGACATCAACGTATTAGATCAACTTGAGATTCATGTCACACTCGTGACTCAAGTAAAGGACTTCATTGTGTTTAATAACTTTATTTTTAAAAAATTATTTTTTACTTAATTATATGATAATATAAATATATGCTCGTAAAATTGAGCACAAGTAGAATATCAGAATGTCTATTTGAGACTGAAATATCATCATAGAAAGTAAATCGAAATAAATTATAAAGACTAATATAAAATTAATTAAATATTGAATGATGAAATTCAAAAAACTCAATATAAACTTAATGTTGAAGGATAAAATTAAAAAAAAAATCAAGAAAAAGAAACATTTGGTGATAAAGTGAAGTCGCACACATCTCTCACTCCTTGACACGTGTTAACAATATTTTTTTAATAATATTTATATTGTTAAAAGACCAAATCTATAACAGCTTGGCCTAACATGTCGTATATTGTCTATTTTAGACTTTACCGTTCTCGTAGTTTTGTTTATAGTGACGTGAGCTCGTTTCTAAGTTCGATGCCCCAAAATGTATATAATTTGCTAGCAACCAACATTACTAATGAGGTCAATTACCAAATCCTCATCTCCGATGTAAGATATTACAATCCATCCCCTTTAAAAAGCCTGACAACCTTGTCAGTACGATCGGACAGCCAATGAGGTTGGCTTTAATACCAATTGTAACAACCATGCTCAACATGTCGTAGATTGTCCGCTTTGGGCCTTACTGTTCTTGCGGTTTTGTTCTTGGTAATGCGAGCTCACTTCTAAGCCTAACACCTCAAAACGTATATAGCATGTTGGTAACCTACACTACTAATAATAACAGCTATCAAACCTTCACTTGTCGATATGAAATATTACAAAATTACCTTTGTTAACTTGTTTATTATAAAAAAATACAATATAAAAAGATATAAAAACCTTTTTATATAAGTTCAATAATTTCTTGCATGGAAGAGTTATACATTCTTCATACCGTACCTTATAATATATAAAAACTACATTGCTCTCTGTAACCTTTTAAATTTTTGGTTATTAAGTATAATATAATCATTTTATTATGCCATTAATCTAATTATTTTCAATCAACTTAGGTGGATTTCACCTTCACCTATTTTAGTGGATGATAGAATATTTTTCATTGATTTACCACCGGACCATATGTGTTTGTAATTAGTTGTTGTCTTGTTTGGTCAAATTTTAAAAGATCTTTTGGTGTTTGGTGGGCTCACGTTATAGGTCAGATTAACATTAACAAAAAATAAATGGTTCACTTACTTGGTTTATCTTTTACCATATATATCTTGCTCCTTTCTGTTTTTATCTAAGAAAAGAGTAAAGGTTTTTTTATTGTTATTAAAATTGTTACTTAACTCATAAAATTATATGTTTTTACAAGTTAACATATATCTAATATGTAAAAACAAATTAAAAATTCAAAAACCAATAAAATCATATTTAACTTATATAAAATCAGTAAAATCAGTAAGCTCAGTCTGATTTTACAAGTTTACTAGATTTGTGATATGAATCAAGTTAGATTTAAATTTTATCTTAAAATGTTTGCTAACTAGTTTTGTGAGATTGAACATATCTTTCAAACCATACATTGGATCAAGCTGAAATTTTACAGGAAAATATTAGACAAGTGAAAATATATTGTGGTAAATATTTAGGTCAAATGGAGTTTGAGAACATAATATTTTAGATAGTCAAAGTTAATAGACAAATCTTGTTAAATATATCAAACTCAATCTTTGTGTACTGTTTGAGAGGAGTTACTAATGGAATTTTGTTGTGACTAAAATTGAAGTGGAAACTAGACATTTAAAGCTTTTCAATCATATTTTATAGGTCCAGTAATTCATCCAAATGAAAGCGAACAACATGTTTAAAATTAGGACTCGAATCTATCAAGAATATATACAAAAATTGAAGATTCAGGTTACATGGAGGAATTTTAACATGAAGACTTTTTTTATTCTATTATATTTTTTTTTATTTTTGAATAATTATTTTCAAATTAAATTTTTTTCTAGCTCATTAGACATTGTTTAGGGTGTAATTTTACTATTGAATTTATGTTAGTTAATTACTACTTCAGATTCATTAACTTTCAACCCAAAAGCAGTTCATTAAAACTTATTGTAATGGGAACAACCAAGTCGTCACTAGGTTTATGTGTGCTTACTATCATTCAGTGATTCTCTTATATTTAGAAGTTTTGTTCTAAGATTTTTTATTTCTCTATGTCATGAATTTATTGATTCATATTATTTATATCTCTTATTTTATTTAGATCACTCATTAATTATAATATTGTTGACTCACTTTATTAAATTTTAATGTAATTTAATTTTTTAACTGGAATTATCATTATATAATTAGTTAAAAAAATTACTTATGATTTTACAATCCGAGTTTGTATCGTATTTTTCATGTCATGTCAAAAAAAATATTTTTGACAACCTTGGTTTCTTTCATCCTCTTTCTCTTCTCCCCCCTCTCTTTTCATCTTCTTTTCATAAAAAGAAAAATTATATAGCATTTCTTCTTATTTTAAAAGAGGTTTAATTGTTTTGTTTCTTCTGATTTTCTTAAGATTAGGTAAATTTATTGGGTTTAAAAAATTCCTCTTTTTTTTTTTATTTTGTAACCATTTTACTTTATTGATTGTTTGTTGAGATAGATCATATGTTTTTTTTTTATGAATATTTAGGTTAAAAAATCACATAACATTGTTGGTACTCTTTTTTTTTTTTTGTTATGTTTAACAAGTCAAAAGCTATAAGTCTTAATAATTTTCGGTTTGGAGGGTTGGACATAAGGTTTGATTTGTTGAGTTCTATTAATAAATGAAATTTATGATCAAAATTTATTTTTAATTGCCACAGAACTCCATTTCCAAGCGCCTACGTTTTATGCATTCTATCTTTCATGATAATTTCCTTAAATTTCTAATTAATTTTCAATTTTTATTTTTTAAAATTTTCTAAACTTAATTATTATCATTATTATCATCACCACCATCGTCATATTTAACCCTCTCTTTCTCATGCATGATTTGTCATTCTAGCAAAGTTTATATATATACACACATAAGCCTTCTATCTTAGTATTTTTCTTTTATTTTGTCTTTCTTCTGAAGTCTCCTAGTTTTCTCCACCTTAGGACCGCACGTTTCTGGTTTTTTTAGTAGAGTCCTAATTTGGGTGAGCGAAAGTTCAGATTTTGCTCGATCTTTTGACATTATGGTTAGATGGGTAGGAAAATTAATTAGAACTCCAAGCTCGCCGGAGCAGGCCATGCTTAACAAATTGTAAGCCGAGCCAGTAGCAGGTAGCACCATGCCACCAACCATGCAATAAGCATTTTCACCATTTTCTCTCCCTCGGCAAAATCTTCGAGATCTCACGTGCCCAGTGAACGTCACCGAGCACTAAATGATAGTTTTCCTTATCAAAATGCCGGTTGGTGGAAGTGGCTTTCAAATTTGGCAACAAAGATAGATACTCAAGGGTGTGTGTTTGAAATTGTTGTAGAAATGGCTTTCAAATTTGACAACAAAGACAAATATTCAAGGGTGCGTGATTGAGATTCTTGTAATGGTTGTGATCAAAATTATATTTTTAAAAATTATTTTCAATATTAATATTTTTAAATAACCTGCAAATATAAAAAAATAATTTTTAATTTATATATATATATATATATTAAATTTAAAAAAACGCTGTCCCAACAAGATGTAAGTACAAAATACAGTCCCCTGACCAATTTTTATTTTATGTTTTGTCCACGCTCTACATCCCACTTGGGCAGTGTTTTGTCCACACCCTACACTCAAATCGGGGGGTGTTTTGGATCTTGGAAGAATAATGGGGGGCTCCTGGTCCTCACTTCCGACAACCCATGTAGTGTTCTTTTTAATGAAAAATCAATTAGGTTTTGTTGAACTGTTTACACGAACGAGAATAAAACGAAAGAAATTATAAAGGTTATTAGTATAGATTCTATATTTATTTTTTAAAAATTATTAATTCAAGTTTTATAAATTTTAAAATCATTAAAAATTATATAATTATAAATTTTAAAACATGTAAAATTAGTTGATATGCATATAAATTAACTTGGATATTTATATTAATAATAAAAAATAAAAAACAAGAAGAATAAAAAAAAGAAATTAAAGGGAAAACAAAAAAATACAGCTTACATGTTTTGATTAAAAAAAAACTCTAAATAATAACAAACTGATTGAAAAATATGGTTAAAACACTAATAACTCTAAAATTTTATTTTTTATTTATGAAATATTAGCTTGATAAGTTATTCCTTTCTAGGAGGCTTACAAGTTTTTATGTAAGTATAAAACCAAGGCTGGAAAAATCATAAAATTTATAATAATCAAGGGAAAGTAACAAGATTAAATTAAACAAAACTTTTTAAATTTAGTTTGAGGAGATTCATGTAATAAATACACCGATAATACTAATGCTTAGTATAATTAAATTTTTTTGTAAAAAATTTAATTTAATTTAATAATAAAATAAAATATTATAAATTTTCTTATTTAATATACTAGTTTGGCGACGAGGCCTCATTTATAAAAATATATACTAGCCTCTCCTTTTTTTTTTTCTCTTTTATCATAGAACCCACATTAGATTCTCAAAGAATTGTCTTCCCAAGTGCTTTTAGCCACAGATAATTTAACAGTGGTTACTCGTACCCCATGACGCTTTTCACACACACACACACACACAAAAAATCTATTGGATCCTTGTGTAAACAAATTTATTGTTACCTTAGCGTTTTTTCAATTGGGTCCCCGGCTTACAGACAATGATGGCAGGCACATTTGTTGACAGAAGGACCAGATTGAGGATTTCAATGTAATCAGGGATCTAGATGCGAAATGGGTTATAAAGCGGGGACTAATTGTGAGGCTATCCCAATTGTCAAAAGGATCCCAAAGGTACTTTTCAGAGACAGCAAGTCTATAACCAAACAAGACTTATGAAGCTGAACGAAAAGAAATCAGAATCTCTCTCTGTTTTATTTACCGGTCTAAATTCTAAAATATTAAAAATTCCCGAAAATATCCACCATTTCTGATCTATTTTCTTCATTAATAATAATAATTAAAAAAAGAAAAGGAAAAAGAGAAAAATCACGCTCCTGACGCCTCTCCTTGTGTTGCCCGACGCAGCCACCTAACATTTACTTCCAACCTATATATAAAAAAGAAAAAAAAATTAAAATTAAAAGAGCAGAAGCTCTCTCCCTCGACGGACTCCCCAACGCTTCCCTCCCAACTACAAAAACCAAACACAACTCTCCCTCTCTAACGCACCAAACGCAAGACTCTGTATCTCTTGTTTCTGTCCCTGCTCCTTCGGATCTCGAAAATGCAGAGCACAGCCTTCACCTTCTCTCCCTCTCCCTCTCTCCTCAAACCACGACGCCTAATTTCTTCTTCTTCTACTACTACTTATTCGCCTCCCCATCGATTCGATCCAATTCGCGCTTTCTCGTCTTCAAAACGATACGATCTCGACTCTAACAATGTCGTTTTCCCTCGCCGATCCTGGTCCTTGTCTTCTGCTCCCAACTCGTCTCTTTCACGGCCCTGGAACCCGTTGCCTCCCTTGGTCTCCGAGAGTAAAACGGAGCGTTTTGAAGTGAGAGCTACGGCTGTTCCAGAGAGTGCTGGCGAGGGAAAGGAGAAGAGTAGTCTTGTCAAGACTTTAGAGCTTGGTTTGTTGTTTGGCCTTTGGTATCTTTTTAATATCTACTTCAATATTTATAACAAGCAGGTTCGTCTTTTCCTTTCTTCTCTCTCTGTTTTTTTTTTTTTTAAATTATATTGGAATAAATAATGAACTGGAAATGCTTAGATCATTTTTCAAATTTAGCAATGTATTAAGTTTTTTCTTTAATTTTGATTCAAATTAACCATACTGATTATTCAGAAAAAGAAAAAGAAAAGGAAAATACTATTAGTTTTTCTTAGATAAATGTTGATTGATAAAGAGGATTTTGTTATGCTACTTTTCATAGGTTTTGAAGGTATTCCCGAACCCAGTAACTGTTACTGCAGTTCAATTTGCTGTTGGGACGGTATTAGTTATTTTTATGTGGACTTTCAATCTATATAAAAGGCCGAAAATTAGTGGTGCGCAGGTATGTGATTTATGATGCAGCTGTAACGTCTAATATATGCGTGATTCATTCTTTCTGTTGTCGAGAGGGAGACTTATTATTTATTTATTTATTTGAGTAGCTTGCTATGATTCTGCCGTTGGCGGTGGTTCACACCCTAGGGAACCTTTTCACTAATATGAGTCTTGGAAAGGTGGCTGTTTCATTTACTCACACTATCAAAGCTATGGAGCCCTTCTTCTCGGTTGTCCTCTCCGCTATGTTTCTAGGGGAGGTACAGTTCTTTCTTTTTTTCTCATCTTTTGCATCTCCTGGATAGGGAGTTTACTATTATGTTCATTTTAGTAGCTAATGTTGCTGTTACTGTTTGAATGATTACTGTTTCTGTCAAATACTGGTTAAGTTGCCTTAGCTCTAATTTTTATCTTTCTGTACCAGATGCCTACCCTCTGGGTGGTTGGTTCCCTTTTACCAATTGTTGGTGGAGTGGCGCTTGCCTCAGTCACCGAGGCCTCTTTCAATTGGTAAGGGATGCATATGTCTAGTCATTATATAATTACAGTCACAGCCACCCAAAATTTTAGGGATGCACTTTATTTTGAGCTGTTACTGATGCACTCTATTACGAATTTATCATTATGTATTTCAAAAGGGCCGGTTTTTGGAGTGCAATGGCTTCTAATTTGACAAACCAATCTCGTAATGTCCTCAGCAAAAAAGTTATGGTTAAGAATGAGGTAATTCTGCCTTCCCATATTCACAACTTCATCATGGCTTTGGTGCATGTTGGACTGAACATTTTGGTTTTGCTTCCCAATTGAACTAAACATTTCCATAGTTGGTTCGTATTGCAATATTCTGGTACTTCAATTTGCTTTAGATTGGTGCATGACTAATGGTTTGTTCATGAACAGGAATCTATGGACAACATTACTCTTTTCTCCATCATAACGATCATGTCACTTGTCCTATTAGCCCCTGTGACTATCTTCATGGAAGGTGTCAAGTTTACTCCAGCATACCTCCAATCTGCTGTGAGTTCTTCAGCAGAAAAAAATTGTAACAAAATTCTTGGTTAATCAAAAACCATACTCGATATGAGTCCTTGTCTGATATACTTTTCTGTTTTTGTGTGACAGGGATTGAATGCTAAACAGGTATACACCAGGTCTCTTATTGCTGCGCTGTGTTTCCATGCCTATCAACAGGTAAGGTTGATTTGTGTTTTTGATGTTTCTCTTTTTTTCTCCAAACTCATAGGTCATCTATTCCTAAAGAATATAATTTTTTTACCTTTCTAGGGTTTTGTCCATTATGTTTTTCTGTCTGTGTAGTACTTTCATCTTGTATTTTTGAAAGTAATCATCTTTATATTTTAATTTGTCTTCACCATGGAAATTTGCCTTCTTTTGAGCATTTTACTTCTCGGGTTGTTTTTAGTGGACTAAATATTTGTGGAAAATCAATTGGATAGCATTGCTTATGTGCTGGAAAATGTCTACTTGTCACTGCATAAGACACCCAGATGTGTGAAATTTCCCCTCTTGATTTGGAAAAGTATTAATTCTATGCTGTTCAAGTCTTTCTAGGTTCTTGATTGTTTCTTTTCTAACCTTTGATCTGTTGTGTTGGTGAGAGAGGTTGGGAAATTGCTGCTGTCCTTGCCTTTTTAACATAGGATAGTGGTTTATGCCAAAAAAGGATTTCACAAACATTCTTTAGGCATTGACGACTCTATTGTTTGTAATTGCTATCTTTGCTCTGGGATTATTGAAATCTTCAAGTTTCTGACTGCAATTAGAGTATTGGTATCATAATATAAAAGGTGGTGCTGGGAGGTAAGGAGGTTAAACAACTTGAAATTAAAATAAGAAGTGTGTGCAAGTGCATATATATGGTTGCTGCTCTGTTTCTCTATAAAATACAGGCTGAAAGAGGTCACTGTTTGTCCAATGATGTGTGCCTTTATAAAGGAAGTTGTGCTTTGTAAATAACTCTCTTTTTTGAAAATAGCCATGTCTGATATTTTCAGGATTATACATTGCAGGTTTCCTATATGATATTGCAAAGGGTATCCCCTGTTACACACTCAGTTGGTAATTGTGTGAAGCGTGTGGTTGTCATTGTGAGCTCCGTCCTCTTCTTCAAGACACCTGTCTCGCCTATCAACTCACTAGGTAAAATTCATGTTTTGATGTCACAGCAACTCATTCCTTAATTTGCTTGCATGCTTGTTTCATTGTATCACGCTTTCCTCTTTTCTTATGATTTCTTCACATGATTTCCATTCAGGTACTGGCGTTGCTCTTGCTGGAGTTTTCCTGTATTCAAGAGTGAAGCGCATTAAGCCAAAGCCAAAGACAGCTTGAAGTTCCGGGGAGAGATTCTGCTATTACAATTGGGTCATTAGCTGATGCTATCCATATTATTGCATTCAAGAACATGTTTTGTAGATCAGGCGAGGAACTCATTTAGGTTTTTTCTGTACTATCTTTGGTTTTTTATTTTTTCCCCAGGGCTGGCTTTCCTCTCTTGTGAACACCCAATCAAAAATTTGCAGGGTGCAAGCAAGTTCGCCGTTTGTCATCTCTGAAAGAACTTATAGTTTTCCCCTTCTATATATCCTGACTCAAGTCTGCCAAACTTGGTTTTCAGAAAGAAGCATTTGGCCGCCTGTGGCATTCGATGGATTTTCCAGGCAGACTGGAAGCTTTGTGCAAAATCCAGTTCACTGGTGGCGAGTGTTAAAATGATTCCCAATTGTTTTATGATAGCTGAGCTGAATATGAAATGCCGGCCTTTGTGGTTTATCCGATCGTGGATTTTTAGTCAGGTGTTATCTTCGATGAAAAACAAAATTAAGGCATTCATAAAAAGAAAAAAAAGAGAAACATGGCCACAATTATCTCACTCATTGGTTTGGTAACTTTGTTTCCCTCGAGCTTTTTATCATTTGGGCGAAGGACACAAAATCAGCCACCTCAATGCACTTTTCAAATCATAAATCAGTTTGCTTTGATTGAAAATAACTATTATTACACTGAAATAAAAAATGAAAAAACGAGAAAGAAACCCCTGTGCTGCCAAAATCGGGGATTCACCTGAAACTGCTTCCACTGACTAAGACCTGGTTTCTCAGGTGGCCGACAAGGTTACTGCTCAGGAGTAATGGGCTGACACTCGATTCCTGCTAACTTCAATAGCTCTGAATCGCAGAAGCACTCTGCTAAATCTTCATCAACTACGGGGTTTGCACACTTGTTTTCAACCATGAAGATACAGTTATTTGCATCTATTGGCTCCGGAACAGCACGATCACAAGGGACCAAAGCATGATCAGAATTATCACTGCCATGAGCATCTGCTTTTCCTTTATCACCGCGGATGCTTAACAGATCGCTGATTTTCCCCCTCAAACCCATCAACTTCTTTTCTACAGCTTCAATGAAGTGCAAGAAAGCATCCCCACTTAACCCCTCGATTTGATTTGAAAAACTCTCGGCCAATGCTTCGAGCTTCTTCCTTCTCACCTTCTGTCTCTTCAATCCGAGCTTTCCCTTGACATTCTCTAAATAACCCAGGAGGTTGAACTCACGTTTCTGCATGGCATGAAGTCCTTTGTAGAACCCGATTTCTCTCTTAACCTCTGCTGCATTCTCTGGGTATGTTTCGACGGTGCCATCAGGACCGAAACAGACCATGCAAATCGTGACAGCACACAAGGTCTCAAGCTCCTCTACTTTCTTCTTCAAGGTTGGCTTTCGCTTTGAGAAGCTCACTGCTTGGGTTACTTTGTTACCCTCATTAATCTTTTTCATAAACTTTTCTCTTCTCGTAGCCGTTTTCCGTGATTTTGTAGCAATTGCGTATTTGAAAATAAACAAAGGCAAAGTAGAGCTGTGAGCAATAGCACTGGCGAATAAATAGAGATATCACAGACTTGACTGAATTCCGCCTTTTTTTATCCTGTTTCTATTAGGGTTTCTCTAGCTTCCTGCCGACATTAAGAAAAGAAAAGGAAAATTCGAAACTTAATTGGCTTTAGATTTTGGTTTGTTGCTTTTCTCAAGGAAAGACAGCATAATTCTTCCCTATTGAAATCGGATTTTTTCTCAAACAATCGATTAACTAAATTCAGATTTATTGGGACTTAGGGTTAAGGATTCAACTCATAATTGCCATTAATTTCCTAACTGATAATCTCTTTAATGTTTACTTGTTACCTTGTCTTTACCACATTTAATCAGTGCTTGCATGAGAAGATGTTCAAGAGATTTAACAGAAGCCACATCCAAAGATTCTTAATTCCCAAGCTAGAGAACAACCATCTCAGTACTTCCATGGAGGTTTTATCATATTATAAATCCCGCTAGAGTTAGAATGATTTTACCTTGTAAACTAATAATCGGAATGAAATTAATTATATAATCTAATGTTTTTAGAAAATGCGGATATATATTGAACTGAAAATCAAATGAGTATAAAAAAGAGAAAGGAAAGATCGGAGGAAAGAGGATTTTTTCTAATTCAAGAATTCAAGGTTCCCTTGCAAATCTTGAGAATAATTCTGTAATCAAAGCCTTAACATAAAATGCAAAACTTGTCATCTCACAATAAATTGTAACATCTAAAAGTCTTTTCGTTTCTTCACTTCACTTTCCTTCTTGTTCCTCAAGCTCTGAATAACACAATTAGCAACCAAGAAGTTCCTCCTTTTCTGTTCTTTCATTAGTTCTTTAAATTTGCTTTTAAGAAAATCTCAATCCTAAATTAACTTTCCGTTCTATCTCTATCCAAAAGCCATATATGGCTCTTAAGGACTTACATTTTGCTTTGAGAGATCATTTCTACTAAATCCACTTCCTTCTTCACTTCAAAACCCATGAATGGAGTCACTTCCGGTTCTGGCACATTCATCTCCAATCTCTTCTCATGAGCAACAGAATGATCACAAGGTAGCTCATCAAGAATAGAATCAACACTGCAGCCCTCTCGAAATATTTTCTCATGAATATCAAAATCAGCGACCTCGTTAAAACTATAGTTTGGAACTAATCCATCACCATTGTCTTTGAAAAGGACCAAGTCCCGTGGCAGCAGCTCCGGTGCTTTCATTCTGGTATCATTACCTAGAACGATATCAGTACTAGCAGTAGTTATCCCCAGGCCTCTCCCAGTAATGCCCGAATCTAAGTTCAAGCTCTTGATATAATCTTGCAGAAGGGTGGCTCTTGGATACTTTGGTCGACATTTTCGCTTCGAGTATTGCTTCCTTTTGGTTGCATTCCAATGGTTCTTAATTGAGTTTTCTGTCCTTCCCGGCAACTTCTTGGCAATTTCTGCCCATCTGTTGCCTAATTCTGAATGTGCCTGTATCAACACCTTATCCTCCTCTACACTCCACGTATCCTTCTGTAATGAGAATAATCAAAGAGATGATAAGAAATTGAACTGGCATCCTTATCCAGCTTATGAAGATAATGCCAAGACCCATGTACACATGTCATGTATGCATGATTCGTGAGCTGTTGATTTACTTTCTCTAACAAACAGAACTTGGATCTATTCTATTAGCTTTTTTAGCTCATGCATCAGCAAGAATTGATCAAGAATCTAAGATCTGCTAGCAATGCAGTATTACTGGGTAATAACTTCAAGCATGAAATAAACTCCTGCAAAAACTGCTTTTAATGCCCTAAATTTTATGTGCGATTCTTGTTAAAACAAGTGACGATATATCAAAATAGATAACAGTAATACACATAAAATGACAGAAGGGAAATTGGGAAATCACTCCCCATCACGTTAACCTTGATATTAGGCCTTAGATGGTTGTGCCATCTCTCTCTACACTGCTTTCCTATCCTTCCAGGCAACATTTGAGCAACATGACACCATTTTCTCACTCCATTCTGTTCAACCAGCTGGATCAGAATCCTGTGTAAACATGCAACATATACAATAACGCCATTATTGGAACCTAATTAACATGAAAACAAAAACCCCAGGGATGCATGTCTAATTAGAACAAGATATGGGCGTACCTATCTTCCTCAGTAGTCCATTGCCCTTTTACTATACTGTTCTTCTTAGGACCTTTCCATGTCTTTCTTGCCGAAGGTAGGGGTGCCCTAGTCTTGTTCAAACCCATTTTCCTTTTGCACTCATTCGAAGCAGCACTCACGCATGAGACTTCATCGGGTACAACAAAACTCACAGGATTTATTTCATCGAAATTCAAGGACACATGGTCCTGGTTGGATCCGATATCATCAATGGAATTCCTTTGACTAGACAGGTCTAAGTAGGCACCACTCTGCAAATCTTCGTTGACTTGACCATGTCCATGCCCACCACCTCCATTGATATTACCTACGAATGGTTTGCACTCATAATCATAGAAATCAATATCTGATGATAACCCATAAGGAAAAGCATCAAAAGAATCGAAGTCAGACCCAGTTTGGACACCAAAAAATGGATTTGATGCTGAGCCGTTAGCATGAAACTGACTGTCACGAGCATCATCAAGATGGTCAAAATCTTGAAGAAAGCCTTTTGATGATGGGCTAGCAGGTACTGTTTCAAAGGGAAAGTAGTCTTCTTTCATGTATGGTTTGTTTGACAAAAACATCGGTTGAGAAGCTCTTCTGAGGTTGTTGTTCTCAAGCTCCAAGAAATCTTGAGGCTCAATAGTCTGGGTTTGAGACGAGTACTAGTGTAGGAGTTACCACCTCAATATATAGTGTTGTTATTGCTTAATAGGAGAAGGCAGAAATACTCTTATGACAAGAGTTGAGATCTTGACCACTGGTTTCTAATGATCCAATGGTTGACATTGCATACCATTGCTTAGCACTAGTGACCATTAAGCTTCTCTGTGGGGTGTTATTAATTACAAATTCTCTCATAATTCTTAATTTCTTGTTGGAATTACCTAATATTTACATCTTTGTGGGTATGATCAAGCTGGTCAATGGCCTCAAATGGTAGAATCTACCAAGTGAGAAGACGGGAACCTTCTAATCGGATACGTTAGCATTCAAGATTAATAATGAGTCAATGCACTAATTCTCCAGTCAACCTAGATATATGCCAATTAATGCATGGTCCTCAAGCTGCATAATTGCCGCATTGAGGAGGAGAATTAATTAAGAGAAGACTTAATTAATTCTCCAGGGCGTTTTGCTTAGCAAATTAATTCTCTTTGCTTGATGGGATATTATCTGAGGCGAAAAGGATGTAATAAACTCAAATGTAATAACAGTGGAAAATGGTAACTGTTATGTTTTCTTTATTGATCATTCCGATATTAATTCTTTAATTTTATTCTTTGAGGTTACGAGGAAGATGAGTTTAATGCAGTGATTCTCTACTCAGTACATGCCCTTGGCGTAGACTACTTGAGTTGCAGGAAAAAGAAGCTAATTTCTATGGCCTCTTGGACAGTAATTTAACATCTATATATATATATATATGAAATAATCGAGATGTTCTAACAGATGATGAAGATTAAGGAATAACTTCATCCCTCCAATTTCAAAATGTAATTAATGGATCGGGTCGTAAAAAAACGTTTGTATTTTCCAACTCAGTCAGATTTCTTCATTCGGGCAATCAAAAGGTTCGAGGCCTTTATTTTTGGGTGTTCTGGTTCAAGTGGGCTTTGAAAATGTTTCTTCCAAATTAATTATTATTAGTTTTGATTTGCAATTTCAGCTTGACCCGGTTTTCGACTCATAGTTTTCTTTAACCTTAAATGGCCCAAAACCCAAATATAGACTGCAATATGGCTGTGAGAAGGCAAATGCTTTCAAATAGTTCGAAGTCATTAATTAGATCAAGAAATGCAATGTTTTTTCTAGTTTTCTTCGGGCGGATTGTTTTTGTCTTTTAAAAATATTTAAAAAAAAATTAAATTTTTTATTTTATTTATTTATTTTAAATTAATATATTTTTAGTATTTTTAAATTATTTTAATATACTGATGTTAAAAATAATTTTTTTAAAAAAACATTATTAATATATATTTTAATACAAAAAATTATTTGAAAAGCAACTACAACTATACTATCAAATAAGCTTGTAAAATTATATTTGGCTGGAATACCCTAACAATACATTTACAAGTTTTATTATAACTTTTTATTTTTAAAATTAAAGAGTTATTACTGTATCATTTTATCTTTGTTAATTGCTACGAGGCACCTAATTAGACAAACGGTCATGGAATTCTTACTTTTAAAAACAAGATTTACAGATGTCAAGAATTTTTGTATATTTCTATAGTTGTAATTTCATTTGAGTTTAATCATCATATAAAATAAGAGAATGCAACCATTTCTTTTGAATCTACATTGCAATTATAATTTTCTTTTTATACAAGTGAGACAAACTATGCATTTAAAAAAATTATTATGAAATATTTTTTTAAGAAACTAAAGAAAAAAGAAACCAATCAAATGATATAATTTTTAGAATATATGATGGGGGTAATATAAATACCATAAATAAATATGAACTGTTTTTAAAAATAAATAATAAATGTGAACTTATTGATTTTAAAAGATGAAAATCAATACCTTATGATAGAGTGGGATCGTGATGATTTGAAGATGTAATGGTATTGAAAACTTATTTGTAGATGTTTATGCTTGTTTGCTGTGAAAATTTGAGTTAGAAAATCAATACCTTATGCTCTCAACAATGCTCTTTCGATTCAACAAAAGCCTTAGTAGAAGAAATGGTACAACAGAAGCAAGCAGTAGTGTAGCAGCAAGAGTTAAGAGATAGGTAGCCAAGAATAACACGTGGCTGTTTGTAGTTAGTAAGCTGTTAGGTGGTCGGTTGGCAGCCAGAAGAGAAGGATTCATTTTCAGGAAACGAGTATAAAGAAACATGGAATCCTCAGCTATTTCTAAGCTTATGTTCTCATAAAGCTTAAATGCAGGCATACGGAGAAGTATTTGGCTTCTCTGTTAAAAGCAAATATGAAGTTGAATCAGACGTCCAAAACACGACTATGAAGTATGAACTGATGATTTTCTTAAAGGCAACTTGTCCTGGGCCGCTTGTTCTAACTCGTGATCAACTGAGTTCTGATATTTGC